GTAGCAGTCCTTGCCTTCCCCACTGCCCTTGCAGGCGCTGTGCAGCTTCTCCCCATGGGAATTCCCCACAGAAAATCCTCTGCTCCTGCTCAGGATCCAGAAGTAATGCAGATCTCTCCCCTGTTCTCCCATTCCCAGAAATCAGGCTGTGTGTGTCTGTTTGCATGTGTGCACGTGCCAAGTTTCAGCCCAAAGAGAGTTTTTACACCTGACTTACAACCTGATGAAATGATTTTATGATGGAAGCACTGACATAACCCCACAGTAATGCAAACACACCAGGGGCATGCCCGTGGTTTCTAATGCTTTTATGAGGTGTGTGTACAGGAGGTGACATCCCTGGCGCAGACAGGACCTGGCTGGGACCCTACTCCTGAGCCCTCACGTAGAGACAACAAAACCCGTTTCCTAGATGTTGATCAGCCCCAGGTGAGCTCAGTAGTTAAATCTCCCACTCCTCCACCCCTGCCAAAGAAAAGCAGTAGCAAGAGAAGAGAGTATCTGCTCTGGAGTGTGGATTGCTGGCATCAGAGCCTTGTAACAGTGGTGTTTTGCTGCCTCGGGCCATGAAATGAAATGTCCTGGGCTGGAGCACTTGTGTTTGAGGGAGCTGGGACTTTCCTGAACTCTTGGGTAACTCTGGAGCATCGCTGGGGACGAGGTTTTAATTAAAGTGTAAAACTGCATCTGCTACAATCCTGCATTATTGTTATTAGGGGGATAAAACCTTCCATTATCAGCTAATTTCTGAATGTGCAGAGTCGTAGCTAAGGATGAGCTTGGTGACAAGAAAGAGGTTTTGGCTGATCAGTCAGGAGCTCATGTAAAGGTGGCGTTCAGCAGCCAGTGTGCGCTGCAGCGTCTGTGAAGATGAGGTGCTGGAAAAACACCTTTGATGCCCAAATTGTCCTAGAAAACAACAAATATGCCTTTAAATAAAGACTGTTATTGTTTCTATTGCACAAGCAACGCTGGGTGAGAAGGCTGCCTCTATGCTGATACTTACTTGATGTTCTGCAATGATTGATTCAGAAACCCTGACCCGAATACACATATGAGCAAACCAGCAGCTTCAGTTCTATATCTACACTTATTTCTTCTGGGTATCTCTGAGCTGCATAGGTTGGTCACTCCACAAAACCACACATAAACAGGTATTATGTCCAATAGCGTGGTACAGAAGAACAAGCTTCTATCTTAGCTAAAACTATGACCAATGAAATTAGAACTTTGGCATTTGGTGCACTGTAATATTCCTGGAGAGAATAGTGGCTGTGGAGGAACTGCATGTGTCAGCACAGCGAGAGTGAAATGGTTATTTTTTGGTCTTTCACAGATGTAGTCTCTACGGTGAGACCGGGAAATGGAGCCCAGGTCTGAAACATGAACAAACTACGTGGGTTTTAAAACCTCCATGGATCTTCGATGCTGTCCCACATTGCTTCCCTGATGTTCTATGAGTGGTGAAAACCGGACAGGTAACACAGACAGACACCGCCACCAGCAGTGTGGCCTCGGGTGTAAGAATTTCCCTTCGTTTATGTTTTAATATTAAAGACAAGGAGCACCTGTAAAGTTTGTTTAAAAGTTAGGTGTTAGGTAAGATGGACACTTTACAAATGCAATTTATAACTGTCGAATTGCTACTGTTGATTAGAACAGGGAGGTGTGAAACTGCTGCAGTGGATTCAGGAACCATTTATGATTTATTACCTCTTTTTTTTTAAATCAACAAACAGAAATCTGCACAGGGGGTGCAAACACCTGATGAGAGAGAGGTGCTGGTGCCAGCAAGTGCTTTGGTGGGTCTTGAAGCACATGCTCCTGTTTCATGCTCTGGGTGTGGACCGAGCTTTGAGCAGAGATGCGGATGCCATCTGATGATGCTCAGCCAAGGGTTATTAATCCTGGTCACTCCTGCCATGTCTCTGTGCTCATATCCATGTGACTGTGCATGGCCAGAAGACGAGCAGAAGCTTCTCACGATGCAGAGGACATGTGGGCAGGTGGGCCTGTGCTGTCTCTGCACTGCTGCGCTGGTGCAGAGCACTCTGGGTTTGCTACAACCATGTCTGAGCTTACTCACTCCATTACTGCAAACGCCAAAGCAGCATCTGCTGCGCAGCAGGTAACTGAACTGCATTCCTGGTATTTTCTGAATGCTGGTTACTGCAGTGGAATGAGTTGTCTAAAAAGTTGAAACAGAGACACGGGAATGTTATGGCAACTGCTTCAGGTTGAGATTATTTCATACTTCACAACACCTACATGAAACAAGTAGCACTTGTGATGGGGATGTGTTAGGTAAATGCCATGAAGAGGCCTTGGGCAGTTCTGCTCACAAGCTGTGAGCACTGCAGTGAGCCTGCCTTGCCCTCAGTGCCTGTGGGAGAAGATGAAGGAGTCCAAGGAGCAGCTCCTGTGAAGCCCTTTCTTTGCCTGTGCAAGAGCAACTGGCAAGCCAAGCAGGTGGGTAGTGCTGCAGGATGCCATTTTGGGGTAGTTTATATTGCAGTCCTTCACACTGGAGTGTCAGGAAAATCCCAAACCCAAAACCTAACCATCCAAAAACCCTACAGGGTACCCAGGGGTCTCAGAGATCACGCAAAGCCTTCATGTGAGGTGACTGGTGTGATTGTTGAGTGAAGGCTCGTAAGGCAGGTGAGCCAGGTTTAACACATAGTTGAAAGCTACTGTCCAAAACTGGGACGAAACCAAGAGGATGCCGCATGTAGGTTTGTCTCACCTAAAACCATGTGTATTTTAGTACATCTCCAGAGAGCTCCTTGCTATGGGAAATCTTTAACTCTTGCCACAACATTGTCTGAACTGTGTTCTCACCCCATATTGGCACAAAACACTTCATTTCAGAACGGCTGTGTTTGAAACAGGCTTTGCATCTTTTACTGCAGTTTCTACGACTTGTTTACCTAAGTCACTCCACGGGGAAAGAATAATCCTCTACATATGTCCTGTGGTATTACAAATAGCTGTTATTTAACTCAGGCTTCCTCTCATGCTAGCAGTCCATGTGTTCAGTATAATGCAGTGTCTTGGATCATCACTTGCTAAATCTATTTTAAAATAAAAATCTATTGCATTTCAATATGCACCTACAGCATTAGATATGCACTGTGCAGGTGTGTACTGTGTGTGCACAGTGTGCAGTGTGCTCCGCTCTGCTTCCCAGGTGGAGTGGCTCAGCTGGTTATGTAGAGGTGATCATTTAAGCAGACAACTATGCAAACCAGCAATTACAGCATCATTTCCACTTCTTTTATGGGGTTCTCTGGTTTTCCAAGCCTCAGCCTGCTCAGCCTACTGGTGGGCTCCGCAGCATCGGAGCACATAGAACAAGGCTCTTAACAATAGCATGAAATGATGGAGCATCGTGTGTGGACGCGTGGTGCTCCTTGGGGTTTTCATTCAGAGCAAATCTAACAAACTGGTGTTTTCTCCCTTCCACGATCTTCTCCTGCTGTAGTGGCTGAAGGATGAGTTTGGTTGTGATGTGATCAGTGACCAGTGTTGTGATCAGTGCCGCTGACTGATCTGTGGGGTAAGCCTTGTTACCCTTCCAGCCTTTAGTTTTGCTCAAATATTAATCTGAGGGTTGTTTCATTACTAAGCCTTTTCTGCTTTCACTTTTAGATAATTTAGGGGGTGAAAGTGCTGTTCAGGTACAAACTGCTCCCTTTTCATCTTCAAGGTGCAACTACAGTTTCTCTCCCTGCTCCTTCTATGGGCCTGTGGTGACCCATTTCTCTGTGCGGGCTACAGCCAGAGCACAGCCACAGGAGCAACTTGTTTCGAGGGCTATTGCCTGAACAGAGCCCAGGTGATGGGCACAAGAGGTGATGATTTATGTGGGTCATGTTTAAGCACAAATTTATCCAGCCTTTTATAATAGTGAGGCATTTACCAGCCTCTTGATTATTTTGACCTTATGTTCACTTGTGAACAGATTTCGAGTCTATAGTAGTTTTACTGCCTTCACCGTACCATGTGTCTGTTCAAAACCTTGGCTCCATCCCTTTGGTGGACTTGTGAGAGATGGTCAGTCAGACGCTTGCAGTCCTTTCAGCCCCTCTCCAGCGGCTATAGCCTGGCTCTGCTCAAGTTTTCTGTTTTCATTTTATATTTTTATAACTAATTGTCTCTTTCAACACTCAAAATCTTGCTTAATTGTCAGTCATGGTGTAAGGCCCGTCCCTCTCTAGCATGGGGGGAATGTGCAGGACTTCTGCTGACTGCCTTGATACCTGTAGGTCTTACATTTAGTATGCTTATGTGGGGCTGTGCTCCTGTTGGAAGTTAAACTACTTCTTTAAAGAGGCTGCAAGACTGGCAAGGAGGATTTCATCATTATCATGGAATCCCAGACTGGTTTGTGTTGGAAGGGACCTTAAAGCTCACCCAGCTCCAACCCCTGCCACGGGCAGGGACACCTTCCACTGGAGCAGCTTGCTCCAAGCCCCTGTGTCCAACCTGGCCTTGAACACTGCCAGGGATGGGGCAGCCACAGCTTCTCTGGGCACCCTGTGCCAGCGCCTCAGCACCCTCACAGGGAAGAGCTTCTGCCTAAGAGCTCATCTCAGTCTCCCCTCTGGCAGGTTAAAGCCATTCCCCTTGGCCTGTCCCTACACCCCTTGTCCCAAGCCCCTCTCCAGGTTTCCTGCAGCCCCTTCAGGCACTGGAGCTGCTCTCAGGTCTCCCCTTCAGGAGCCTTCTCTTCTCCAGGCTGACCCAGCCCAGCTCTCCCAGCCTGGCTCCAGAGCAGAGCTGCTCCAGCCCTCGCAGCATCTCTGTGGCCTCTGGCCTCACTCCAACAGCTCCATTGATTCAGTTTCCTCATGGCAGAAGCTGTGTCCGTTTGCACCTACAGCCATTTGAAGGGGGACTATCAAAGTCTGATGACAGAGTGTTTAAACACCACATTCCATGACTGAACTACCTGTAGCTGAAGAACTGTGTATGAATTTGCATTTCCAGGGGTATTTTCCTGTGCAATCTGAATGCAGCCTGTTCGGTTGACACTGCCGCGGCTCACCTGAGGCACCACTGGCTTTCAGTGGACATCCATGTTCTGATGTGACTGTTCAGAAGTTAGCAGAGAAGTTGCTCAATGTTTTCCAAGTACCTGCTTTGAATTCAGCACTAAATAACAAGCTGAGGTCTGCTGCGCTGCCATTTTTGGTGAGGTTTCAAACGGCCTATTTCTGTGCGATGATGAATGTTAATAATTGCTGTAAGTATGCTATTAGTCAAAATGAAGCAGAAAGAGACCCAATTATTGAACTAGACTGCTGTGACTGGAATCTATAGCTGATATATTAAAGCCCAACTGTCATGCTTAATAATTAACTCAAGCCGCTGGCAATTCTGCAAAAGAAAATGAACATTAATAATGAGTTAACTGATCATTATTTCTTTTTCCCCATACCATTGGAACAGCGTCCTGCAGTATATCAATTAAACAGTACGATAATTTGACATCATATGAACTCTCTTTTCACGTGTACTTTCCTACCTCCTCCTTTCCCAACACCACTTCTATGTAATTACTGCTTTTACCAAAATCTCCAGTTGCTGCCCTTGTCTGTGTAAGTGTTGAAGGAACCATTACAGGATGCAAACATTACCTAAAATGGCTCTGTTTTCACCTGAACCAAGAGGAATGATCCACATTCAGATATATGTCTCGTTAAGAGCACTTCCTGTGCCTTCAGTCTCCTCATTCTCTAGGCTGCTTAGCAAAGGATGGTGATAGCAGAAATAAACACCCTAATGAAGTGATCCATGCATTACAACATATGGGCGCCTCCCCAGTTAACCTCCCAGTGATTACTCCATCAGGTCTGAAGTGGCTGCTGATGGGCAGTCCCAGCAGTGAGCTCCTACGGAATAAACTGGTGGATGAGGCTCAGTTGGGCTCCTCTCTCAACAGGGGTGAGCAGCAGCCAGCGCTCTGCTGGGGAAGGCACCCCCCCATGCTGAAGGAAAACCCCAGCTTTGGTGGAGTGGCTCCATGACCATGGTCTTCCCAAAGTGTTTCAGAAGCAAGCTGTCCTTTTTCAGTGATAAATGTTCTTGCAGGAGGAGGGACAGGCTGCGGTTTGACATTGCCTGCAGTCCCATGCTGCAGCTACCTCAAGGGAGTCATTTCAGTTGGACTTATCTCCCTCCTCTGGTTGAGCTCTGCCAGCCTCACCTTGCCCTTGCCAAAGTCACCGCCTGGGTTCTGAACTTCCTGATCTTTGCAAGGGAGTCTGAGCAACAGCAGGACCATTGCACAAGTTGAGAGTGTTCTCTGAAGTTACTGCAAAGGTGATGATTCCCTAGTCTGGGCCCAGGCAAAGCAAGGCTGGATGCAGATGGCAGAGGAGAACTGCCCTCCGAATTATTCAGAGTTTGGCACCCACCAGAGACCTCGAGGTGAGCAAGATCCTTTTGTACATTTACCTTTTCATTGAGTTTGTTTTTCGTTTGAGGAGGAGACTGAACTCTCCAAACAGAAACCTGGACTTAATGACGCCAATCAGAGCTTATCAAACACAGGGCGATGCCCAGTGGGCTGGATGGATTGATCTCTTTGCTCTTGCTCTTCATGATTAGAGGGCTGAATTTACAGATACAGCCGTGTTTGAGCGATGGCTGAACTCAAACCATGTTTGGGTTTTGGCATCCTACAGAAAGGTGGTGCGTGCTTGTGCAAGAGCATTCACTGTGCACTGTTTGCCTTTGCTCTTTCTTCATCCTCTGTCCCCTTCTCACCTCCAGATGGTACTGACAGCAGGCATGTGGTACTCTCAGGAGGGAAAGCAGAGGCCAGGGAGGTGAAGCCACTTCTTCAGGGTCAGATGTTGAACAGCAAGATGGAGAGCTCAGCCCTGTCTGGGGGGACTCCATCATGTGGGGTTGTGGGGACTCCCCTGAGGGGGGATGTGGTCTGACAGCAAGGGCTTAAAGCACAGCTTGGAGTCCCTGCCCCTTCCTCTCCTCTACTTGCAACTCATTTTCTAGACTATCAATCACCCACCTCTTTGGGCTAACTCTGCCAGGCTCCTCCCACAGATCCAGGTGACAGAGCCCAGCATGGCTCAGCTAATCTGAAGGCTTTGCAGGATGGAGATGTGCTTTTTGCCTTTTTTATAAGATAATTCTACCTTGAAGTGGTTCAAGAACCAGTTCTAACATAAGTGGTTCTTGAAAGGTTTAATTAGAGGGATACATAGACCAGATTAAAAGTACCTTTGTTACGAGTAACAAGTACCTTTGTTAGTTATTAAAGTAAATCAAAGAGCAACTATAGAATATTGCTTTTAAAAAGGAGAGGGAATAAGCAAAAAACAACCCTGAATGTGGAAAAACTCAGTTATAATCCATGCAAGAGAAATATTGGGAAACAGCTTCTGGTGCTTCTAGTCTCACCTCTGAGAAGCCCCAGGCCATAGTAACCATCCTCCATGAAAGCCACCACAAACCAGCTGCATCACTGCATCACTGCATCCCTCAAAGACTCCAGGGACTGGTGCCTGGCCCTGTGCATGGACATGAGCAGAAATGAATATAAGTGAATTGTCTCCCTGTGACACTAATGATAGAAGTACAGTTCCAGATGTGTAAGATCAGTTTTTCAGGTCTGGCTGTCCATTTTAAACAGTGTATGTGTTTTATTTTTGTATTCCTGACGTGAATTTTAGTTCCCCTGGTGTTTTCTGGGACTTGCTGCTGCTGCAGTCCCTGTTGGAACTGACCATTCTGAGTAAGGTGACTGTAAGGGTGTAGAAATGGGACTTGTAAACAGAATTTTCTTATGTCAGCGGTAATTCTAAATGTTCATTGAAAAAAAACCCCAACTAACCTTATTTACACTGTGCATTAAAAATAGGAGGATTTCAAAGGGGGTTAGCATATCTCGTTCTTTAATACATATAAAATAGGAAGATGATGTTAGATCACACATTGCTAGTCTATGCAAAAGTTCATATAAGGTTTGATCTATTCTACATATATTATTGCTGTTGCAGCACATGTGGAAAACTGATGGTAAAGCATTTGTTTGGTTGTTGATGGGATGTGCTGAGCCAAGCCACGCTGACATGGGTTTCAGCAGGTGCTGAGCTGTGCTTGGAGGGGCAGCAGGGACACAGCTCAGCACCACCACAGGCACAAACCTGCTTTTCACACTGTTTGGATTTTATGTGTTTAGTTCATCTCATGCTCAGTGATGGTGAAGTTGCACATTGGTTGGTCCCCTACCACACAAGATCCTGAGCATCCTCTTCTGCCTCTTCCAGCTCTTCTTGAGTGGGTGGTTAGAGGAAAAAGGGGATTACTGGAGGTAGCTGTGGAGCAAAAATAAATTAGCTTTGGATCTAATTTGGCACTAGCATTTAGCTGGGGACATCTCATGATGAAGAATATTCTCTGGACAAGACAATCTTATCTACTCTGGGAGAGAACACTGTCATTCTGTGTCTCCTTGGGGTGGATATTAGGGATCAGCCTATAAAGACAAGACTGCTCTGATCCTGGAAATGGCTGGTCCTTCTGGTGCCCTTCTGGTGCCATTGCAATGCACTGGAGGGGATGGAGATCAGGATACCCACCGTGGTCTCACTCTCCTGCCTGAAGTCACTGACAGCTCAGGTAAGCAGCGGTGCCTCAGAGCCTGGCCTGCACAACACCAGTACTGAGGTGTTGCACATTGAGGAGTGAAAAGTGGAGCTTGCTTGCTCTGGGAGCCACCGCAGCACCATCCTGCGGCAGACAGTGAGTGGGATTGAATCAATGGTCTGTTAGCTTCAGTGGGTGTTCAGCTCAAGCTCAGCGGTTCAGGTTTGCAAGGGAATTCTGCTCCAAGTAAGTTTGCCCCCAAGGCCAGCTTCTCCTTAGCACAAGAGCAACAGGAAAATGACTTTCCAGCACTCACCTTTGCACCTCCAATAAATTCAGCAATGAAATACCAGAGCAGCACCTATGAAAGAAGCTGTCCTGCAACTTGAGAAAGAAAGAATGCAAGAAATCCCTGGACTTCTGAACTGGTTGGAGGGGGTGCTGCTTTTGGATGTGGAAGAGACATGAAAGGATCTTTAGAATGATCAGGAATAAGTGTTACTTGTATATAAAACTTTCGTTAAAACTGAAGTTAGCTGTATTAATAATCTTAACAGTTTGGAGCAAGTAAATGACTCATTGCATTGGAGGATATTTACTCACTAAGTTTCTTTAGATAAATCCTCCGATACCTCCGTTATCTGACACTTCTTATTTTTCTGTATTTAACAGGAACCCAAGTACAAGTCTGTACTCCAGGAACCATTGCCAAGGAGATCATTACTCATTAACTCTGGGTAAGGAAAAATGGGCTTAGCAACATCGAAGATCTCTGGGGGGAGTCACTACGTTAATTTCCTGTCAAACTCCTGTTGGTATTCTGTGTAAGCATTACTCCAAATTAATAATGCAAAATAACTAGAAAGCAGCGAAAACCCCAAGGAGAACATTGCCATTTTTAGCCAGAATGGGTTTAATTCATATTATCTGATGCATCCGTTGCTGAGCTATTTTTAATGCGGGTACCTGAATAATTATTTCCCTGTGCACTTCATATAGAAACTATAGCTAAAGGACATTTTATCTCTAAATTAGAAATGGTGGGAGAATAATTGCTAGTAACATGTTTGATTAATTTTCACCACCATTGTCGAACATACTTCTTATGAACAAATGCCTTCATTAATAGATCATTTTCACAGAGTACAACTATATTATTTGGGACACTTCTTCCCATCAGTCACTGAATAAATGATTCTTGACTATTCCTTTTCATTCAGCCAGCTGCATTCCATTAAGAAAATGATCAAAACCATAGTTCAGGGAAGGACTCTGAATTCTTTAAAAACCCACAGGGAATATTTCCCTCATATCAGTGTTCTACAGATCTAATCTTTTAACCCGGAAACACCATGCTCCGAGTGTAAGCTGTGGAAATGACCAGAACTGTTGGGACAGACAAACTCATGCTCCTGGATCCCAGCTCTGCAGAGCCCCTGGGATGCAGCCTGGGTGGTGTAGAGGGAAGGGACACTGTCATTGGCTTTGCATGGGCTCAGTGGGCTACAATAAGCACTTTGCTCCGTGGGACCATGTTCAAGCATCTTTGAGTGCAGCAGAACTTGAGCATGTCCTTTTCTGAGGGAAGATCATGGGAACTTGGGCTGTTGGACACGTGGGAGGGCCGGAGCTGTTTCTTTGCCTGTCCCAGGGCTGGATTCCATCTTCCTCTTACACTGAAATTCCTCCCTAATAACTGTAGAAATGAGTGACTATTTGGCAATAAGGGCTGAAGGCAATTCATCCTCATCACCTAAATCTTGGAAGAACGTCTCATACAGCAGTAGTTTGACAGTACCCACCAAAGCACATAGACCCATTATAATTTTTTCCCACAATTAAGTGGGTTCATGTTTGAGCTCTTGGCATAGTTTCCTATAAATTCCCCCCTAATCTCTTAAAAAGGAGCCAATATAATTTTGATTTGTAAGCAGTAATAATCCTCTTTCCATTTCAAGGGTCTACTCCCTTGTTTTTATTCCTGTGACTAATTGTTCATCCATTCCTTGCTGATAAATGCCAGTTAGTATGGTTGGTGGCAGGAATTAATGGAAATCGTAAATTACTTCTTGTCTGTGGCAATACTTCACTTTGCAGTCCATCTGGTAGACAAAATTCTTCAGCGGTGCAATGTTTCAAGGGATGAGAATGTCTTTGTTCTTGGTGAAGGCATAGCACCATAACCACTTCAAAGGTATATGGGCCTTAAAACTCCAAACTGATGCAGCACACCACTGGGAAGCACATGGGACTCACAGCAGTGTACACAGGATGCAATGGTGAAGTTAGGTGAGAAAGAAAAGGGCCAAATACCACTCTAAACCAAAACAAAACCACACACCTCCAGGACAGTCTAAGTTCAGTTTAATGAGGTGACTTGGTTGGAGATGACTGAAAAGAAGTAATAGCCCAGTTAAAGAACAAAACTTCTTCTATACCTATGGAGGACCCTTAGTCAGCAGGAACAGAGATGAGATGAATGTCTTCCCCGAGGTGTTTTTCCATATGCAAGGACTGTTTTCCTGCTGGTGGTTGCTGCAGCAGTTCCCTGGCAACCCTGGTACCTCAGCAGCCAAAATAACCTGGGTGGCGAAAGACCCCTCTTGGCCTTCTGTAAGTCTGAGCAAATGCTGCAACAACAGTAACTTCCTGTACAGTGTTTTCAAACAGATCCGTGCTGTTTCACTGGGAGGTGTTGGGTGAACCTTCTGAACCACCCTCTGTAAATCTAATTGATAGCTACACACGATCTGGCTGCTCAGCCTGGCTGGGCTCTGTGTGAATTCCCATGTGCTTCCTTGCAAAAGCAGCTCCATGCTCGTGGCAGCGCTGCTGCAGCGCGCCTTGTTCTTCAGCCCCAGGAAGCGGTCAGTTGGTGGTGCGCGGTACAGCTTCTCTGTGCCTGGGGGCAAGGGTAGGTCAGCCAGATGAGCTGAGCTCAGGAGCAGCACAGACCAGCACAGGCCCTTGTAGCTGGGGGAGGAGGGGAAGAAAAGGGAAAGAATTAACAATACCAGGAGGCCAAACCCGCTTTGGTCCAGTAACCGCTGCCTTGGGAGCACTGACAGCACCTGGGGCTGTATGTGATGTCAGCTGCATGGACATCCAGCACTGTAGCACAAAACTGAAGGAGAGGCCTTGAAGGCATTTTATGAGCTACTCACGCAAAATAAAACACAGAACTTCTTAATTGTCAAGGTTTTTCTCTTACATCCTTCTCATTTTCTAGGTACAATATATTTAATATAAAACTTGATAAGAACAAGGAATGCTTCCCAAAGCAGGTGGCTAGTGATGAAATACTGTCCTGTGCTCTGGTCCCCTGCTTTTTGTCCCCAGAGCTTTGTTAGACTGGTACACATGTACACAATATGCTCTTACAGAGTGTTGTGCTGTGGTTTTGGCACATGTAGTAACACAGATTTTGCATTACATTTTTAACATATTCTCTATGTAATTACACTCTATACAGTATTTTGTTATTTCCACTTTGGATTGCTTTGATCATTCAATGAACAAACATACTGAGGAAATTCTATTTACAATGGTCTTAAATTCAGACAGCTTTTGCTCTTTCTAATGGATCTTAATAAAGATTTAATAACTTAAACTTTAGGGACTGTAGCGATAGGACAAGGGGTAATGGGTTCAAACTGAAACAGGGGAAGTTTAGATTGGATATAAGGAAGAAATTCTTTACTGTGAGGGTGGTGAGGCACTGGAATGGGCTGCCCAGGGAGGTTGTGAATGCTCCATCCCTGGCAGTGTTCAAGGCCAGGTTGGACAGAGCCTTGGTTGACATGGTTTAATGTGAGGTGTCCCTGCCCATGGCAGGGGGGCTGGAACTGGATGATCTTAAGGTCCTTTCTAACCCTAACTACTCTATGATTCTATGATTCTATAATATTACATATGAGACATGAATTCTATCACTACGCCAATGTTAGCAGTCAGTGACAAAATCAATAGATATTTTACAAAGAGGTTTTTTTGAGTTTCAGTAATGTCAAATGACAGCTCATAAACAGGCAGCATTTCTAGTTACGTGTTTATTCTGGGTCACTGCTTTTTAAAGACCTCTATTTGAATGTTCAGACAGTGAAAGGAGCAGCCAGCTATCCAGAAGGAGCTGATGGTTATTGCAGATGAGGACACATTTACTGGGTGCCTTATGAGGGGCTTGGAATACACAATTAGTTATTACATTTGTTTTTTGTTTTTTTCCCTCAGGTTTTATAAGTTAAAATAGGAATGTTTCTCCCAAATTTACCAGATCAGAATCAGAACTTAAACTCCAGTTGCTGGGAGAAGGGAAGTTCTACTCAATCAGCTCTGAAGGTGGTGTCTCCTCAGCAAAGAACCCTGTGATCCAGGGATAACTTGTGGATGAGGGACAAAAAGCCACTCACCCAGCCATCTATACTGATTAAGTGAAATTACTTTGAGAAGTGGAAGAAATTAAGAAATAGAAAAAAATGATATAAAACAAGGCCCTTGAGCTGTATGGAGTACCCTGAAACTGTCATAGCCTCATTTCTTAAGGCCTGGGGAGGCTTAGGAGGCACAGCTTCTGCTGTATCCAAAACATTCTGCATGCTGTGATTTCAATCTTGTGAAAGAGGGTGGGGGAAAACGGAATCACCTGTGAGATTTTGGGGGTTAGACTGAGAACTGCTTAGGTAATGATAACATGAAATGGACCTCTGAGTGTTGCTCTTGTCTCCCTCCTCCTGCAAGCATATGGCTTGTCTTGCGGACTTGGTGTAACCTTCACTCCAGAGAAGTGGGGAGGGGGAATTTCACACAGGGGCTATTGGGCTGCTGCAGCCCTCAGTTATTTAGGGGTAATGTCTAAAAGAGGACCCTGCTGACATGTTGATCTGGTGATAACTCTCAAATGAATTTCGCAGGCAACAAGGAAATGGCTGTGCCTCTTTCCACTCTCACTAAAGACCAAGCAAATATTTAATGGATGACTAAAAAGGAACATGTATTTTAAATTTGTAAATACCAGTGTTAAGTGAAAAGGCAAATTAGCATGAAATGAAGGAAAGGGGAAAGGTACAGCCTTATATCAGAATCATACTAACAGCCTGACACTTCGAGCTGTGATGAAAACTGATCAGAAGTCAGCACTGCCACTGCTGGGAGGCTGCAGAGCTCTCGAGTCTGGGATGGAGCAATCAGCAGAATGTTTTGTACTTTGTGTTGCAGGAAATACCAGAGACACCCGAAGCATTCAATTTTTAATGCTGTGGAGGAAGATGTGGGCACCAGGACAGAGCTCCCACTGGAAGAGTGTTTCTGTGCTTCTGAAACAGTCTCCGTGTTCCTTGGCTGTGGGTTTCCTGTCTATCTTGTCCTGTGTGGTGGAAAACAAGGCTTGGAAGCATGAGGAGTGTGAAGCTGCTAATGCAGAAGGGTGCAGCAGCTTTATGTCAGGACCAGCCTATGAAACACAGAGCTGAGTGACCTGGAAAGCCCTAGATGTGGCTAACTGAAGCCAGCATCCAAAACCCTGTCCCCACAGTGATTGCTATGCTGTCCTCACAGAAACAGTCTCTTGCTGTGAGTGAAAGAGGAGCTTGCCTGCTTTTCTCACCATGCTTGGTTACAGCTGGGCTTGCAGCTCTCTCTTTGAAGCACGGTGTTGGTTTTGACTGACCACTAAGCATCACTTAAACGATATCTTTAAAATTACAGTTATCTCAGATTTCAAGTGGCTGATACGCTGGATTAGTTGTTGTTACGTGCCAACATTTGATAGCTTGTATGGGAATTTGGAAGAGCAACTAGGGATATACTCTCAGCCCCATTGTAGTGTTGGAGTAAATGGGCTCTTGATAATTTTTCCAAGTGAATAAAAGTGGGAGGAGAAGGCGCTTGCCAAGAGGAATAGTTAGCAATTAATGAAAAATAGCCTTGCTCTTTGTAGGCTTCACAGATGTGAGGATGGGACAAACATGTTTCTGGTCCTGATTCAGCAGGTTCATGAGGGTCACACAATTCACAGCACAAAGCACTGGCCTGACCTGCAGCGAGCAGTCCACTGGAGAGCCATGGAGCTGCAGGGAAGGCTTTGATCTCTGCGGGCGCCTGCCAGTTGGCCACTGCTGTGTCAGAAATGCCTGTGCTGCTGGTGAGGAATGGGAATGTGATAAAGAAGAACTTCAGAGCATGCCGTATGCAAAGCCTCAGCTTTCTCCTGCCTCCAGAAGCCTAAGCAGCTCCAGAACCAGCTGCGTGGTAAAACTGTGGCTGCCTCACTCCCCCAGACAGCAGATGCCTCCATATAGCATACGAAGAAACAAGTGAAACCAAGCCTAAAGACCCTCAGTCAAGTTGTATTAAATCTTTTGTAGCCACAAAACATTTCCGCTAGCTGCAGGAACAAAGTAAGGAAACACATGTAATTTATACGGCTGTGCTAGTGCCAGAGGCTGCTTCAGCTGCCTGTGGTGACAGTGGTGGCCGTGTCCTTTAGTATTGCCCAGGATGGAGGCCAGCTTTCAAGGACAGCCACCATGTACTCAACCTGCAGCAAGAACAACGTGGGAAGAGGAGAGTGCCCAGCCGGAATTTTGCAGAGAGGCACAGGGACAAACACCCTGTGTGCTCAAAGCACGTTTAAAATGCTTGTGCTGTTCAGTCAGTCATGCAGGATTTCCCTAAGGAGCTGAGCAGTAGGTGCAAAATGAAGTCCAAGAGGCTGCAGGTCTAATGAGGTCCTACCACCCCGCACAGAGCTGGAGCCTGAATGCAAGAAAAGAGATCAAAAGGGACTGGCTCCCCACTCTGGGTGCTGGCAGACGGCTCACAGGCCAGTGAGCCGGTATGGATAAGCTTCATCTGTACTTCTGCTGAAGGCAGCAAAGAGAATAAGGTAAGGGGCAAAAAAAAGATTGTCTGGAGGTAATGAGAAACCGAACTTCATGGGGGACCGAAAGGATCCCAGAGCAGCACTTCTTGTTGAGCACAGAAATGTCAGGGTGAGGACCACAGCCAGTGTTACAGTGCTGGGATGGCGCTGCAGGAGGCAGCTCTGGGAATGATATAGTTGAACGAGGTGCCATCAGCTTGTTCTTTGCCTTACCAAAAAATATCTCTGGTTTGGTCCAAGCAGCAGCCGGATTTCCAAGGTCTTGCAGAGAGCTGGTTACTTGAAAATGGGACTAGATGGTCCTGGGCTTAAATTGTGAGTATTCTGGCCAAATACAACTGTTAAAAACCACCTTATACGGAGGAATGAAAAATGTTGTATTTTTGTTTTATTAGGAGTTTTTCATCTGTTCTCCAAACTGCCTTCAATTCTAAACTGGCTTTTTGACTCTTTATGGCTGGTTAGGTCAAATGACAAGAAGGCCACTGCTGCCTCTTGGGAAACCCACTGCTATGTACAGTAATGCAGGAAATATTCTTACAGTAATGGGGCTGGGTGGAGGATTGTGCCCTGGAATCTCCCTCCCAGCAGGAGCTGCTGTAAGGGTGCTGAGGCGCTGGCACAGGGTGCCCAGAGAAGCTGTGGCTGCCCCATCCCTGGCAGTGCTCAAGGCCAGGTTGGACACAGGGGCTTGGAGCAAGCTGCTCTAGAGGAAGGGGTCCCTGCCCGTGGTAGGGGTTGGAGCTGGAGGAGCTTTAAGGTCCCTTCAACACAAACCAGGCTGGGATTCCATGATTCTAAGTGAAAAGTAAAGGGCTCTGTGTGTGTGTGTAATATACAAATACCGCATCACATCTTCCCTGTGCAAAGGTCTCTGGACTGTGAAGCCAACAGGGACTTGGTACAAGCAAAGATTATTCTTTTCTGCATAACAGCAGCATTAACCATGAAGAAACCCCCCAGCATTTTTGAAATCCAGTTCCAAGTTTACACTGTGCTGAAATATCTTTCCATTGCACAATAGCACAGGGAGCTGCTCTGGGAGAAAGATGGAGCAATTTTTCATTTAGAGCTCCAGAAGCAGAATAAACCACATATATTTTTCACACCACATGAGGATTTATGGGAAATATTGACATGGTTGCTTCTTTCTGTTAAGGTTACAACAGCAGCTTCGGTATTTTCTTGGCACATGTCTTTAAAATACAACTGTTTACTGGTTTGTCATCTTTGCCTTATAACAAGGAAAGGAGAATTCTGTTCTGCACATCAGGGTTCCCTTCAAGTAATCTCATCTCCATGAATGTAATGACCTCTGGTTTTCACATGTGTATACTCAAACTGCAGCTACCAGTCTGTTCCTCACTTTACAGGAGTAAAGCCATCAACTGATAGACTGATTTAACATTTTTATGTGGTTTATAGTAATTTTCTTTCCATACTACGTACAGGAAACTGAGCATACTTTCCTGTATAATTTGTAGGGCATTATACAAAGCAACTCATTGCTCTGGACATTAAATTCAGTTTGCAAAACAATGTTCCTACTGCAACCATGGCTTCCAAGCAAAATATTTGCCTATTTACTGCCCTGATAGCCTTGGCAGTTGGACTAGATGGGAGCAGAGCCATAGCATTTACCTTTGCTAAATAGTAAGGGTTTGCTAGCGGATTATATGTCTCAAATGCCTTACAATCAGGTGGAGACAGCCTGGAGAGTCAAGAAGACAAGGCTGAGGCTCAGGGTGATACATGGCTGAGACTTACTATGGGAACTTGGGTAGAAATAGAGGAAGCTAAACACAAAATTTCAGATCAGCCAGTGACAGACAGAATCCCTGGGGAGTGTGCAAAGGCTGGGAAGTGAGTCTGGACTACAGTAGGGAAATAAGAGATCGAACCAAACCTCTGATTTTGCTCTGTTAAAGCTTTTCCCTTTTATCCAGTCAGTTTAAGTAATTGTGGAGAACCTAACAGTAACATTAACAAGCTAATTAGCACCTGGATTTTACTGGAAATAGGTTTTGGGTTTCATTGCTGACAAAAAGTGTACTAAATATATTTGGGTTTATTTAAAGCACTGCCTAGTTTTTGAAGGTGCAAGTTCAATAAAGGTACAAGCTCAGTCAGTGCTGGTTCCCTGCCCTTGCCCTGCCCTCTCCTCCCTCCCAACTGCTGAGCGCAAACAGCTTCAGGAGACAGAGCTCTGCATGGTTTTCATTAGGCAGAAGGGTTAAGCGAGTTTTTCCTACAGCTCTTTATTGCTAGGGTATGACAAGGAAGGAATCCAGCTTGCCTGTCAGATCCCAGATTCGGTTTTGTAGTCTTAGCAATAAATTAAAAAGCAAAGGAAAAATCCCCCCTGTGAACTGTGCACATATTATCGTTTCCCATGGATTTCCAGCTTGCTGTGAAACCCCACCAGGCCCGCTTCCCGATGTCAAACTGCAGAGTGGAATTGCACTGGAAGAAAGGGGTCACTAACAGGAGGTTGGAGCTGAACCAAAGAGCAGCACAAAGGGCCTCAGTGGTGTGGGCTGCGTGCAGCCGCGCTGCCAACCTGGGGCTGTGCAGCCGCATCCTGATGTCCGCCACCTCCAGGGCACAGTCAGGTAGGCCCACTTGAAGGGGTGCATGAAAAACCTCTCAGGAACTTGCTAATACTTTGGAAAGGCCCAAATCTACCCATTCTTTAGGAAATATGCCTCCAAGTTCACAGAGACACTGCGGGTGTCCTCACCACAGAATTGAGCAATTATCAGTAATAGAAAGAAACTTCAGGCTTTAGGGGAGCTAAATGTATTGTAATGCAACATATACTGTAAGACAGCCACGTTAACATCCTGGTGATGGACCAGCTGACAAACACCAGCGGGTGAGGCAGACTAATGAGTGTTATCTTAAAAATATCAACAAGCAGAAGCAATACAAACCATGCGATTCATTAAGTAACCACCTATGATCCTTTGAGTTCCAAAAGCTCAGAAAATGCTGATTAGGAGGAGGCTTTTAGCTAATAGGAATCCTGTGGTTTGACAAAGCAGAGGAAAGCAGGACTGTAAATTCTCAGGCATTGCAGTAAGAGCTGCATGGCACAGCATGCTGGCTCCTGGAGATACTGCTGCAGAACTGTGTGGATATGCCTGTGTAGAGCTTTCTGTCTGACTGCATTGGGAAAGCCTCTTTGCAAATTCTAAACGAATGCAGATAACTCGTGGAAGTGAGTTTCAGAAGCTGCACAGCCTCCAGAGAGAGAGTGCATGTGTTGCAGATGCCCCTTCACAATCTCCTGCCCTGTGTTGTCGGTGAGCCTGGCAGGGACCGGAGCAGCCTCCACTGCTGCAGCTCCTAAACCCACAGCCACTGCTTCTTCTGCTGCTGACTAGTCACCTCCAATGTTTGTGGGTAGCTGGTGAAATTAGGTATCTGGAAAAACTTGATAATATGAAAGTATACTGGAACATTTCTTGGATCAGACTGCTGCATTACTCATGCATCATTAATTCTCAAAATATTAAGGGAACATTTCTTAATATTAGGCCATATTCTGTTAAAGAGACACAAAACAACTCGCTGGGTTTAAACCATAACACAGAAGGCACCATCAGCCAAGCAGATCCAGTGCATAAAGGCAGGTAGGAAAGGTTTGCTGGGCTCAGCCGGAGAGCTTTAGATTTTCTGTTATGCATTGTGGTGTGTAAAGTTTTATTAGACCAGACCTGCAAAACCTCATTGTTAATGCTCATGTAGCTCACCTCCTATGTAGGATTTTCTGTTGTCACAGCAGACCAATTTAAGGCTTTATTCAGCATTCCTCGTACAGCTAAAAACACTACTAACTTTGCCTGCAAGCCTGAGGCTGAAGAGGATGCAGCCTCACTATTAGTGGTATCAGGACTGCAGCTACATTCATGAGCTCTGTTTTTTCTTTCTGCCATTCCAGCAAGGTATCTCCTCTTTTGCAGGCTTAGAGCTGCCCTGGCATTTCCACTGCATTCATCACTGCTGTGCTGGGAGCACAAACAGGATCTCGGGCGAGTCCTTGTTTCCCTCTTCTCGACATTGGTACATAATGATGTTACCTACTGTCTTATTGCTTGTGCCCCAGCTCCTGTGAAACTGATAGTTGTGCATAGCACTTCGTAATTGGAAAAAGTCAGGAGCATGTTGGCAACCGACTGCTTTATTAAGTTATTCTTCTGGGCAGATGATACTATGCCCTGCATCTTAAGGTCATCTATTAAGATGGAGTGTGGAATTGGTAGATGGCAGAGGAACAGCTCCCAGGCAGTGGCTGGTCTGAGCTCACATGGGTTCCCATGCCTCATGCCTCTTCACATAGTCCCAGAAGGTCTGTGCTTGCAGTGGAGGAGGTGGCATGCAGTGTTTGACAGTTCCATCGGTTGGCACTATTTATTCAGTCCAAGCTGTGGGAATAGCTGACCGGATGCTGCTTCTGCCTGTTTATCACTTTGCAAACCTTCCATGTTGCTCTTGAGCTCTTAATCTCCCTGGGGTGACCTGGCTGTCAGGGTGACAATTTCGGGTGACAAGCTGGCTTATTGCAGCTAACTCATTCTCTAAGATCTCTGTGTAGCACTAGTGTAATACTTCATTGTTTTCTCCACTAATGACCCCTTATTAGATGCTTTGTAGGTAGATATCTGTCAAATTTCAGCCTAAGATGGACATGGAAGGCTACAGAAATGGCCAGGGCCATGCATCCAATTAATGGAAATCGGATAATTATCCACCCAGGATGCTGGGGGGAAGTCTGCAGTGCGTGTGTCCTGCCAGGAGCTGCCTCTCCTCCTGCTCTGCCCCTCTGAGGAGTGAAGCACCTCTGCCTTTGGGATCCCCTGAGGATGTAACCACTGATTTCTGCAAACTCACACATCCCTGTGAGGAAATGATCAGAATTCTACATTGTCTTCTTGAGCTAAACTTAAACTGCCCTTGAGCATCCCCCCAGGTTCCACAGGATAGCTTAGCTGGGGTCAGGTGTTAACTCCCTACGCCCACTGTAACCCCCCAAGTGCTGATGAGGACTCTGGTTTGGAAGACGCAGGAGCAGGAGGGAGCAAGGAATCAGAATCATAGAATAGTTAGGGTTGGAAAGGACCATAAGATCATTCAGTTCCAACCCCCCTGCCATGGGCAGGGACACCTTACGCTAAATCATATCACCCAAGGCCTCGTCCAGCCTGGTCTTGAACACTGCCAGGGATGGAGCATTCACAACCTCCCTGGGCAACCCATTCCAGTGCCTCACCACCCTCACAGGAAAGAATTTCCTTCTTATATCCAATATAGCTTCCCCTGTTTAACTTTTAACCCGTTACCCCTTGTCCTATCACTACAGTCCCTAATGAAGAGTCCCTCTCCAGCATCCCTACAGCCCCCCTTCAGATACTGGAAGGCTGCTATGAGGTCTCCACGCAGCCTTCTCTTCTCCAGGCTGAACAGCCCCAACTTCCTCAGCCTATCTTCATATGGGAGGTGTAGGACAGATTGGATAAAGTATGTAAACCCTGGGCCCTGGGGACATTCCTTCTGCAGCAGAGTGAATTGTGCTGTAAAAATTTACCGGCTTCACTTGCTCTTGCATACAGAAGACTTTATTCTGGAGAGTGCTATTTTTTTTACTTCTTTTTTCTATTTTAGTGAGATTATTGTAGGTGTTCCTGCTGGCTATAAGCAGACATTTGAAAGGAAACAATATATCTGCATTTGGAAGCTTGTCCTGGAACTGATTCCTTGAAACAAAAATAATTTTCTATTTAATCTCTCTCATGTGTTATTTCTGCATCATGCAAAGTAGTTCTTTACAAAAAATTAAGCTCTTGTGTATAATGTAAAAGGTAGACTTTAAATAAGAAGATATTTTTGGCAGTCTACAAGATGGAATTTGATCAGGTGAGCTCTGGGGAGTTACTTTTCTGGGAAGCACAGTGAGGGTACAGGAGCCAAACTGTGCCTTTGCTAGAAAGTCCCAGTGGCAGGGGCTTAGGGGAGCTTTGAAACAAGCTCTGCATCACTACAGCCTACTTCACATTTAAACCCTGTCAGCATAGATGGAACAACAGAAAGTGAGAGACTTTTGTGTGAAGCCTGAAGAGGGGGAAGGCTGCTCAGCACCACTCGGGAATCTGGGAAACTCAACTGCTCTATTTTTCACCAATTTTCTTGTCTCCGCCATGTCAGGTGGGTGTTAATGCTTTCAAGTTGTTACCACCACAGGGACTCACTATGAAGTCTAAGCATGACATCAACAGCAGCCAGGCACCAAGCAGCTGCAAGGGATAGCGGGCACCAAGCAGGGTGGGATTGCTGCTGGAAGTGAGCCTGTGGGCCTGCATCAGTCAGTCATCACCCACGATGGAAGAAAAGCCAACAGAGAAATACAAATAGCACTGGAAGCAGTAACGTAAACATCTTACAAGGAAGGTCAAAACTGCTGTATTGTATTTATCAGCTGGATTAGAGTGAAAAATGAGATGTGCTCGGAGTGTTTTTGCAGATATCTAGCAGGTCAGTGCTGTGAGCTGCTGGGCTCAATGCAGCACTAATGCTTGGTAAGTGGTGAATTACCCACGTATTGCCTAGACATGTGAGCTCAGCTTGGAGTGTTAAATGGCTGTTGAAGTACTTCCTTAGCAAAGACAGCTACTCCATTTTTCTCAGTAGCTTTCCCAACCAGCACTCCTTCCTTTCACACCTCCCCTCTGAGGGGCACAGATGCTGTTGAACAGATCTAAGCACAGAGTTTTTTCTGTGTCCCAGGAGCTGGCTTAGTCTCTTATTAATTTTATATATCTATATCTGTACCTCCTTTCCTTCAGGGTAAAGGTCAAATATCTGCTATTCTAACGCTACCCAAGTTAAAGTCATGCTTTTGTTGAACTCAAACAGGGGAGCAGGTAACCTGCGGGGATTTCTAAGGAAAACTCATGGAGCTGAATGCGAAGCTAGAGGTGGCCATTGGACCTACATCATAACTGCCCTGTCTCTGCACTGGAGGTTGCCCTGGGCTTTGGGGAGGCATCTGTGCCACCCCAGTGTCATCTGGGACAGTCACCAGCACACATGCCTGTGTTAAACCAGTGCCTCTGGAGGGTGCTTCTCTCCAGCATTTTGCCTGGTTGCTCAAGCAGGACAGTTGCAGGAAAAATATTTGTTCCTGGTTTCTATGTGGCAGCAGGAGACCCAAGACAGCCTACTTGGAACATGAATGCCTGGAGGCTTGTAAGTCCTGAGTCAGCTTCAGGAAACCATTCCTTGATGGCCTTCCAGATCCAAAGCCTCTGCTTAGCAAGGTACCTCATCTTACCTAAAAAGAGGAAGTCCAAGATGATCATCACCTGGTTTCCCTGGGTATCTAGCCAGGATCAACAAGTTACCAATCAGGTTAGTTATGATAAGGGCGATATTGAATATCAACATAGTTCACCTAAACCCCCACTGCAGCTAAAATCTGCCAGCAAGGATGAAGAATAAATAAGCACATCATTAAGCTAATGAGACCCATATGCTTGTGTAGGCAAATAAAAGTGAGCTAAATCTATTGAAGAGCCAAAAAGCAGATGAATGAACCATGACTGACATCCTGGAATCATGTTTAAAATGCAAATATTGATATTTCTCACACTTCTTTTCCCTTATGTAAATCACATCTAAATAAGGCATCTGGTAGAAGAGAATGTATTTCTGCCTTTGAGCTCTTTCTCAAATGAATGAAGTAAACCCAACTTGAGAGAATACCTACAGACTGCTACAATTACTGGAGACTGCAGACAGTTGGGGAGTCACAAACAAGACTTGTCATCATGGTGGAAGCTGAGCCTGAAAGTAATTTGTATCCCAATCTGCACAAATTAATCTGAGATCTTGTCTCCCAAAAAAAGCGAGCCACACCATTTCCAACCGGGATGAAACTGCAACTGTCGGGACTGTGGAATCCAGAAACAGCTGCAGTCAGAAAGAACTTTAACATCAGAGAAATTATCCTCTTTCTTCCGTTTTGTTTCCATGTTACTTATACAGAAGAAGAAAAAGAAGAAGGAAAGATAATAAAACCTACCAGCTTTTATGAGCTTGATATTACTTTTTCAGGAAATGTGTATCTCAGGGAAGAATTTTCTTTCCTTTGCTAAAGGTTTGGGCTACTTGTTGCTATGCACTTGCTCTTCTAGGAGCTGCTGTCCAAGACATTTATTGCTTTGCAGGTCTGACAGATCAGCCCATCTTTCCTGACCAGTCACGTCATTTAATTGGGCAAATTATCTCTTATATCTAGTGCTGGCAGAAGGCTATGAGCTTCAGGTTACCCTCCAGGGAAAGCATGCCAAAATTTCTCTCTTTCCCTTTGCTAAGTGCCACTTTGAATCGATGGAGATCCTGACTCAATTAGCGTGGGATGGACCAGCCCTCCTGCCTGCTAAGATGCGAGGACAGGGCTTGCTGTTGCCCTGAGCATGGTTATTACAGCATGTGCCCCTGGGTGCTGGTGTTTGTGACTGAGAGCAAAGTGACTGTGAATTTAGAGCCAATTCAAAAGGAGGTCAGGGAGGAAACTCTGTGGTGGGGCTTGCTTACACTGAGGAAGAGGATTCTTGGTCAATGTTACACTCACATGCTTGCGTAATGCATCTTCCCCAGTGACACCCAGGGATTGCACTGGGAGCTAGAATGAGCCTAGCATCAGATAGTCTTCTTGTGATACACTGTATGTAGCATAGAGTACATGTAATATACTGGCTCATACAGGCAAGTGTGTGATACTAAATGACTCAATGGCAGTCAGATGTATTTTCTTAGCTACTTTCCTCTTCATATATGTATTTTTGCCTTTTGCTGATATTCTTATTTTTCTGGCTGCCATTTCAGGGAGCAGAAAGAAGAAATATACCATTTTCCTTGGCTTCCTTTTGGACTATCTTCCTGAAAGCAAAAAACCTGTGAATATTCATCACTTTTAGTTTAATTCATAGTGCATTCTCAGATGGAAGGCTCAAGTAATTAGCAGGTACTGACATACTGTCAAAAATGAACACTTTGCCAGTCATAGAATCACAGAATCCCAGACTTGTTTGTGTTGGAAGGGCCCTTAAAGCTCACCCAGTTTCAACCCCCTGCCACGGGCAGGGACCCCTTCCACTAGAGCAGCTTGCTTCAAGCCCCTGTGTCCAGCCTGGCCTTGAACACTGCCAGGGATGGGGCAGCCACAGCTTCTCTGGGCACCCTGTGCCAGCGCCTCAGCACCCTCACAGGGAACAGCTTCTGCCTAAGAGCTCATCTAAATGAAATGAACACTTTTCCAAGCTGTGTGTACCCAAGTGAAGCACAGCAGCAAAAGACGTAAATGTTTGGAAAAGACATTTACAGGTTTTAAAAAAGCATAGATTTTCACCAAACAGTTTCAGACTGCTAGCTCTAAGTTTACAGTCTTTCTCTCTGCACCTTGAAGTGGGAAGGTAGAGCTTAAAAACTATGAAATAATGAGAACTAAGCCCAGAATGGAGAAAGTGAGTGTATATGTGCCAATTTACACCAGCTAAGGATTTGGCTCTCAGCTCCTATAAATTATCTGATTACATAAGTTGTTATTGTTGTGGGCTTGGTTTTGTTTTGTTTCTGTCTCCAGGTCCGCTGTTCTGGGATTTGACAGCATTGCAACATCCCCAACTAGAAGCCTGTCAAAGAGCCCTCTGACAAAAGCTTTGTTGTGGTCCATGTTACATCTACAACATCACTGAAATATAACCTAGCTGTTGTGACTAGAGAGGTGCACTGAGTGTAACTGAAGTGTTTATTATCTGACACTTGTCCACCTGAAGCATGGCAGGGTCCTGAGCTGGCATCAGCTTGTAATAGTAACCAACTATTTACAAGCCACTAATGACAATTTCCTTCCCTCATATCAGATTGTAAATGCATTAGCAGATCACAACTGTAGCTCATATCTTGCTTAGCAGATGAAAGGAAATAATTCTCCTCTGGATTAACTGAATTAAAATGGGAGTGCCATTCCTGATTCACCAGGACTGAAGCAAAGGCTTCTTTTGTGATTCAGGATTGAGGAGAATAGCTGTATTTTCCTGTTTCTTCTCAGTAACTGTAAGGGTTTGGGAGATCACGTTAACGACTCTCATGAGTGCACCATATGTTTTAGTCTGTTTTAATTACTGCAGCCTTTACAGTCTCAGCTAAATGTCATACTTAGTGCTTTATTTTACAATTAAATCTCTCCTTTGGGGAGATCTTGGAGTCTTTTTCTCTCCTCATCTGGGAAGGGTGAAGGAGAACTGCGAATTTACATTACTATGGCCAAACAGCTTTGTTTGGAAAACAAACTTGATTATTATTATCTCAAGATGGTTTTTATTAGATGCTTTGTTGAGGCCACAGAACAACAAAGTAGGAGATAAAAGACATTCTCTCTCCCTTTTCAGCAGTGCCTTGCATAAGCTGAAGCATCGCTTTAGCATTTGAAGGTAAAGGTCTACACAAAATGAAAAGACAACACGAGCTCAGGCTTCCACAGGGTTTTAAGCTCTTGGTACTAAGGATGCATTTACATCTCAAGCAGACTCCTGGTAACTGCGGACAAACTTGACTCTATTCACAGCTCTCACCCACTCCTCAAGCCCACGCACGCTTCCCGCACAGCGCCTTGCGCACAGATATGTCTCATTAAGAAGTGAGTTGATTATCTTTTCCCTTAAATAACAGCAAGCCTCAATTTAGCCCTTCCGACCCTCGCGGGGAGCCGCGGAAGGGTCTGCTGGAAACCGTGACTGCGGGGCCCTGCAAACGGCACTGGCGCGGCTCCAGAGGGTCTGCCAGGCGCTGCCCCAGCACGGCAGCTGCGCCGGCAGGCGGACGGGGAAGCACACGGTGTGCCGGCCGGCGGGCTGCCCTGGGCGGGAGGGGCAGCTGGCGGGTGCTGGCCGTCCGGTTTTATCCGAAACTGCGAGCGGATCAGCTGCTCCTGCCATAAACGGGATGAGGTGGTTACTTACAGCAACCATTTCCAATGATCTTTATGCAGGCAACACTTCAGAGGGAAATCTTTGTCGTCTTTTCCTGTTTCTGGGAGACCGGTGTCGGTCTGAGGGAAAATTAATGTAATTTATTGCTGATCAAACCAGGACCGTCACAAACAAACCCCTAAACCACCTCCCTGCTCTCTCCTGGGCATCGCGGGGCTGGTTCTAACACTTTTTTTCCTCACGGCCATGTGGAATTGTAACCTTCATGGCCACCTCTCCTCAGAGGCGCCTGAGCGGCCAGAACCGGCCGTGTCTGTGCCGCGGCCGCTCCTGTGAGAGACCCTGCAGGCCCGCCATGGCCACAGTGCAAAGGCAGCGGAAAAGGCAGGTTCTGTGTGGGAACCATGAGAAGCAGAAGGCACCGCGCTGCTCCGAGGATACCTGGGCAAAGGTGAGCGCTGGGAGGCGGGAAGGAGCTGCGGGTGCCCGGCCCTCGCCCCGCAGCAGGGCAGCGCTCTCCCCATGGCTGTTGCTGGCGTTTCACACAGCAGGAGCTGTAAGTGAAGCTCATTCATCTTGGGACACTGTCCTCCTGCCTGTCGCCTTTCCCCGGCCTGAAACCCTCCCCCGTGGTCAGAGGCTCCTCCTCATGGGCTGTAAGCTGCACTCCTCCATGCTCCCTGTCTTACCTACCTCCCTTGCCTCTGGCCCTGGGCCAAGGCACGGCCTGGTCAGCACCTGCACAGACACGAGTGCAGCCTCTGCAGAGGCGCTGGGGCAGGAGGAGCCCTGTCTCCAAGGGCTCACCATGTTGAACAGGGCTTTGGCAGCCATGCGGAATCCCCTCTCCTCCTCCTAAAGCCTGGCTTGTGTTTAAAACTGGGGGGGGAGAATCCTCCTTCCTACTCTGGTGGCAGAGATGGAATCCAGTTTTCCCTCTCCCCCTGTGGAAAGGCAGAGTGTAGCCCAGCTGTAACTGTTCCAGGAAACCTGGAGGTGAGCAGGTAGCACAGGTTCAGTGGGGCCTTTCTGATGAGCAGCTGCCACAGTGCTCTGGCAACCCCAGTTCTCCCATCTCAACAACAGCAAACCCACCCAACAACCAGCCTTTCCCCTGTGACCCTCTCTTTCCCCTGCAAAGGCTCATGGCTTACACTGGAGACCACCGGCGTGGGACCTGCCCCAACACTTCTGCAGAGCAACACTTCACCATGGAGCGTGCTGTGTCAAGAACAGACAGCCCAGGCTGCTGCATGTCAGACCCACGCTGGAAAGCGGGGGTCCCTGTTTGTTTATTTTTGCTTTCTGATGGTTATAAAACTAAGGGGCCACATTTTTCATTCTCTCGGGCATTACTAAGGGCTATAGGGATATTCCTAAATAGTTTACATCTGTGCTCTGAGTCTGGAAGAAAACACCGAGCTAGATTTCAGGAGAGAAAGAAACTGGAGACAGCTGCGAAAGGGGCGTTGCTGCTGTCTGCTCTATGACTGTGTGGGTCATCTATTCCCTTCAGTAGTAACAGAAGAAGCACATCCAAAGCAATAGTGAGCTGGCCTTTGAGTATGAACTAACCAGGGCTACACAGTATTACATATAGCCTTGTTACTTTCCTATGCAACAGCATCCATAAATTCAGCAAAGAAGTATGTGGATGCCTATTGCATGGACCAAGCTCCAAAGCTGCAGTGGAAAAAAAGAAAAGGAAACTTTGCAGTTGGATTTTCCAGAGCAGGTAACATTGGGACCACTTTTTAACTCTCAATTGAAATGATTTTGTGTGAACTAGATATATTTGTGCAAGATGACATCTCCAGATAGTCCCTGTGGGGCTCATGAGATGGTTTTGCTAAGAACTTGGCTAGCTGTGTGTCTGTGCTGCCCAACAACAGGGATGTTTTGCCTCACTAGATGATAACTTTCACATGTTGTTAGAGATCCATCACAGTAGAAGTCAGTACTAACTGGCTCACATGGCCTTCAGCTTTCCAACATTTAGTCATCAGGTCTCCAGGCTGATTCAAGTTTTTATTAGCTCCACCCCTTACCCAATTTGGGAAGCTTCTAACATGAAGCCTTGTTCCTGGCTGAGAGGTATGGTCTGCTAGTACTTGGTGATGGTCACCCTTTTCCTCACAGCAGTCAAAGCATGTTTTTTCTTGTTTCTTTGGACTATTTGCATTTTAAAAGATACAAGGAAATCAGTCATGACAATTGCATACTAAATAACAATAAGTTGATTTCTAACCTAAGTGGTTTATTCTAGCATAAGGCTGGTTTTGTGTAGAAAAAAGGGCAAAAGCCTGAGGATGATGCTTTTATTAGAAAATAGCTTTGAGGAAAGAAAATGGAAAAAGAGTGTTCTGGTGGTGGTCACCCCTGCCTGGTGGGGTTGAGAGACAGATTTATTGGTAAAACCAGCAATCTGTGCTATGTTTTCCCCATGATGGTGTGTTACTGAAGGGCAGAGCAAGGCAACGTGGCACAGCTCTGCCTGCCTCATGGCTGAACCCACATTCAGGCTCGGGCAGCTTCTCACATGCTCTAACCATAATGGCTTGTAATAGCTACCGAAAGGTATTTTGGCAAGGAATTGCCTGTCTTGCTCCTTCAGGAAAGCAGGCAGCATCAAACAGCAACTTGTGAACTGGGTAACTTTGGTAGTCTGGGGAAACAGCCATTCGGGTGGTTTATTTGTATAGTAGGTATTTGTTATGAGTACAGGATGTTACTAGGGCTCAGACCCTGAATTCTTGACCTCAGTGCAAACATCTTTATTTGAGACATCCACCAGAAGAAAACAATGACCTGTGTCAAGTAATTCTAGGGGCTTATGCGCTTCTTTGTCAAAGGGGACCATTCTGTACCTCCCAAGTGCATAGGTTATTGCCAATGACCAGCACTCACTGGCACCAGCTTGAGCTGGAAATCTCTCATCAGTAGTGATGGTCTCTGCCTCAGTCTTGTGTGTTACTACAGCTCGGGTTACACCAGGGTCCTCACAGCAATCCAGGTGCTGGTTAGAACAAATGGCTCTGTGTGAGTCATATGTGGGGACTGAGCAGGACTGGGTATCTGGGGCAGATGAAACAAAGCCACACCTCGATTAACAAGGGGATGTAAAGTACCGCTGGGATTTGAGATCCTGCTGGAGAATAGAGGGGCTCTGTGGAAGGCTTAAACAGTATTTTCCTCTGTGTTTGTGAGCACAGAGATGAGACAGAGGTAGTCTTATTTATGATTCTAGTGGGTTTGAAGAGTTGTATGTTTATAGTAGTTTTCTGGTACCTCAGGGAGTGGGAAAAGGCAGTGGGCAAGCCAGATGGCCAAGCAGAAACTTGAGAAATGGTGCTTCCCATGCAGTGAAGCACAGAAAGATCAGATGGAAATCATATCTTTCTTTGGGAAGACACAATCTTCCCATTTTTGGAAGTGTGTTATGGGGATGATGAGCTTTCCATTGGCATCTAGATGGGAATGAAACCTTTACAAAACTAATTTAGAGTTTGGAAAGGAAAGAAGGGGATCCTGCGTAGGCTGGGATATGTGAAAATCACACAGAGTTGATGTTATGGACATGAGAGTGAAACCCAGGTTTTCCAAGAGCAGAAATACGAGTGCAAACGCATGTGCCTACAGTGCTGTCTGTGCCCTGGTGAACACACATACACTGGGTTTGGGGAGTTCTGTGGTGCTTGCAGGGTGTATATGAGGATGCTGACTCCAGCACCAGCTCCTTCTGATAGCTATAGGATACTACAGCATGAGGTGGATATGGGCTCACCTTGGAAGCAAATGCAAGAACTGTTAATTTTGAGGTGCTCATGCAAATATGCGCCACTACACTGCTGGGAGCAGAAAGGGAAGAGCTTCTGGCAGTAAAAGAGGAGCAGGCAAAATTCAGCAGTTGGGAGGGACATAAACTATGTATCTGAGTAAAGGAATGACAGAAGATATAATTAGCTTCAGGTTAGCGACCTGGCAAGTCCTCGCTTGCATTGAAAGGGCAAGGGATTAAATAACAACCACACACAAACTGAAGAGAGAGGTTGAAGTTACCTAGCCATGCTGCCTGGGGCTGGCTGTGTGCCCCTCCGCTTCTCCATGAAGCTTCCATGAGAAGCATCATCCCTTCTCACCCCTGGCCCATGGCTGCTGCCCAGCTTCCTGTGTGCCTCTCAGTGGCTGCTCTGAGCACCCCTGGGAGCACTCTGTGCCCCTGAGCCAGTCTCAGATCCTGCCTAGCCGTGGAGAAGCAATGGTCCCATATTACCAAACAGGGGCCCTTTGCTGCCTCCTGTTCCCTTTGCTGTCAGGCCCTCTCCTTGTTTTACCACCTGCCAGTTGCTCAGTCAATGTTCTTTAGGAGATACCCTGATCCTCAATTCCTCTTTAGCTCTGAATAGCTCTGGGCAATGCCACCTATTTGCCTTGTCATTATGTCCTCTCCAGACAAATTACTGTCTTGTGACATTAATTTGTTCCATGCACCAATAGGGGACAAAAGTATAAGAGGATTCCAGACTTTGAAAACTGAAGCAGCTTTTTACAAGAAGAGCCACACAGAGTGTGCACAGCTCCACAGGGCATTTCAGCCCTGCTCAGGCATGGCTGCCAGGCTTCCCCTTGCTTACTTTCTTCTTGCAACCTGTAGCCATCCTGACTTTCACACTGGCTGCTCTCTTGCATCCTACCTATTGCTATATCCAGCAAGGCTGGGCAGCACTGACAGATCACTGCACCCACAGAGAACCCTGCTGACGTTAGCAGAGCTGTATGTGTGTAAAACCCACATGAAAAGAGCCCACACAGAAAAAGCCTGTGGGGTCTGGGTCCTAGTTGACAACCTTAAATATTTGTAATGTTCTGCTGAAATGACATTTCAATACTGTTGCCCCTTCCAAATTAGGAGCATGTTTCAGAATCGTGATGTGAAGCATTACTTGGAGGGTAGCTTTGCATGATGCAGCGTGCTGATGGTTATTCTTATCTGGAATATCCATGGTGTTTAGTTTACAACCCGCATGCTGTTTGCTGCAGCAAATCTGAACAGTGTGCATTAGTTGGCTCCTCCTTCATGAGAAGACCTAGAGCTTCATCTGGTTTTTGAAAACTTTCAAGGTCAATGTTTAACCCTTTCAAAAAAAAGCAGTAGAAAGAAACTCGTTGTTTCAATTGCACCCTCAACTTCCTCACCAGCAAAACATTCAGGTACAGAAGATTCTGTGAGAGGAACTGGGATAGCCAGGAGGAAACTGGAAATGCCAACAGGGGTCACTGGGGGGAAATACAACTCTGCCTGCTCTCTGCACATCTGTGTGGATGTCGGGTTTGAGCCGCTACTGCATAACCAGGAATCAGTCCAAACTAAAGGGTGTCGGATGTGCTCTGCTGGCGTTTCTTGGGGACTGTGTGTGACAAAAATGAAGGTAACAAGCCCTGGAAGAGGGCATGTAGTACCCATTTCTAAGACTATGGGGTAAAGGAAGAGCTCTCCTTGGCAGAGAGTTTGTTTCAGTAGCCTTTGCCATCTGAGAGTTCATCAATGAGATGACATTTGCTGGCATCAGAGTGCTGATTTGAGAGCTGTTCCTTCCATTGTGCGATGGAAAAAGAAATGGTGAAAGAGCATGAGAACAAAGAGTAGTTTCAAGTCAGGTTCCAAGACAGGGATAACTTTCCTGCTATTTGGAAGAGCCCTTTGATCTTACATTTGGGTACATTTCTCAGACACTTGCAGTAAAATGTCGGAATCTGAAAGAACACCTTATCAGATGCTGCTTAAAAGTGCTCTTGGTTTGTTAGTACATTAACTAAGTTAAGTTAAAACATTAAAGTTGCTGTCGGGCACGCTTGCTCCTTGCTTAAAGAATTATGCTTTACTCTATTTCACATGTATAACTTTACTTCCTCCAAGGCCACTGGATGGGTACAGCAGACTATTGAATTTGACCACATACCTGCTGAAAAACTCTCTAATGATAAAGAAAGTGTGATGCCCTTTTCCTCCTAAACTGCCTAAGTAGGTAATTCTCCCGCTGCACTCATCCAGTGCTGCAGGAACCTTCTCTTGTAAGCTGTTTCTTTAACTTCACATTAAGAATTCAACTGTGCTATTCATAGGATACCTTTGTGAGTCCTGGTGAGCAGAAGTCTCCAGAGCAGCATGAGCTTTTCTGCCCTGGGTTCAGAGTACACATACATTGCAACTGATGTGTTTGGACTGGGCTAGTCTATAAACTGTGCCTTTTTTGTCCCATTTGAAATGTGTTAGACTCTGGCATTTCAAAGCAGCAGTATCTTCTAAAAGCTCTTCCTGTGTGAGCTTTACGTGTCTTACACTTCTCACCTGTACACTGCAGTCAAAGGCACACTGCCCAGCCTGACTTTGGCCACGTAGGCATTGTCTTCTGCTGCTGTGTGACATCTTCCCAAAGTCTGAAAAACTGTGGCCGGATGAGGACACGGGAGGAAATGTTTCAGTCAGAGCCTGCCTGCACTTGACAGTTGTTCTGCTTTGTGGTTATTCAACCAGAGTAGCACTGCTTTAAAGTGGGAATGCTGTAGCCATGTGGAAGAGATGTGACAAATGAGTTCCTCCTATTAACAATGGCAAGAAAAAAAAGGGGCAGAGGACACTGGGATGTGCTTCCCACTGGTTTGCAATTAGGAAATGGTTGCTTAGGAAAACATTAAAGACTTTTTTTTTGTGTTAAGTCTGGAATTCTAAAAAGT